ATATAACGTGCGACGAAATTTGAGTTGCGCTTAAGGACTTTGTGAACAATACACAGCTAACTGCAGGAAAACAACGCGTATAGTAGGACAAATGAGCTAAGTCTAACAACGGCAGCTAGCGGTAAGCAGCGATCATATGAATCTAGACTAAACACACGGTCTGGGCAGAAAAAATGGCTTCGAGCAGCAGTAATAATATTGAACGTGATTCTATAAATAATTACAGTATCAAATATATATAAAATAGGTACTCACGACTAGATTGACACAACGTCGATTTAACTAGCGCGTCAAGGTCAGAATAGAAAATCAACAATTATAAGGGGCGGTAATGCAGTTAAACAGAAATAGAAAAAGAGGGGAAGCATTTTAGGTCTCGCATAGAGCGCAACGAGTTGGGATATGATGTAGCGTAAAAATGAATGAATGTTAAATTTTGGGTAATAAAGAATTCACAAATCTTTTACACTCCCCCAGCGATTGATTTTCTTCCTTGAATTGCTTGCTATAGTTTGTCCTTCAGTTTTCCTTCTAGAAGACACAGCTGGTGAACATCTGTTCTCAGTATCCCTTTGCTGGTTCTCACGTAAACCTGGCGAACATATCCGTTTGCACTGGTGACAACTTCGTCCACGATATCTTTAGGCCACAGACCCTTTGAGGTGCGTTTGTCACAAACTAGAACTAATTCGCCCTTACTTAGGTTCCTACACTTATCAAGTCATTTTGGTCGCCTGTGCAGTGTAGGTAAGTAACTTCGGATCCATGTTTTCCAAAATGTTTCGCTCAATTGCTTCACCTGTCGCCAACGTCTACTCAGTCCCAGAAGTAGGTTTATTTTTGCATCCTTTGGTGGCCGGTTGATACACATGGTTAGCAGTTCCCGAGCGGATATGGTAGCATACGGTTCCGGTGAATCTGGCACCGGAGTGAGCGGTCTATCGATCAGTATCCGTTCTACTTCGATAGGGGTCGTTAATAAAACGTCATCAGTAACCACCTGATTATTCCGTATACCACCTAACAACGCTCGAATAGACCTAATCAGCCGCTCGCATAAGTCCCCATGATGAATTGCACATGGTGGGCTGAATATCCAGTCGCACTCCTTGTTGCTAGCTCTTTCGGTAAGCCTCTGCTGATTCAATCCTTTCAGTAGAGATTTCAGTTCAGTCTCTGCTCCGTGAAAGATTTGACCGTTGTCACTGTACACCCTCGACGGCCAACCACGACTGGCAGCAAAACGTGTGAACGCACATAGAAAGGAGCCCGTATCCAGTGATGGGGACACTTCAATGTGTACTGCTCTTGTTGTCAGGCAAGTGAACAGACAGCCGTACCTACGTTCACGTACACGCCCACGCGCAAATACGAGTGGTCCAAAGTAGTCGACACCTATGGTGCTGAACGCCTGTTGGTAGGCAGCATATTGATCCGGAATAACTGGTGCCATCAGTTGTTGCATGGGCCGAGCATTGCGAATGCGACACGACGCGCAGTGGTTCAGTACTGTTTTGACGGCTCCAATTCCATCGATTATCCAGTACCTCCTTTGAATTTCAGCCAAGGTATGTTGAACTGCTACGTGACCGTTCATTATGTGATAGTGAACTATTAGCAGATGTGTCACGTAATGTTTACTGGGCATCAAGATCGGGTGTTTCACACTAAATGGAATTGGTAAGTATGTTCATCGACCACTGACTCTAATAATTCCATCGGTTAGCAACGGAGCTAATTTTCGTAATCGGCTTGACTTCAACTTCATGTGTCTACTGGCCTTCGTTGCACTTTCACTCTGGAGTATGGAAACTTCCTCAGGGACTACCTCTCATTGTAGCAGTCGAAAAAGGATGGTGGTCGAATTTCGAATATCCGCTGCACTTATGCTACCCGACACGTCTCCTATCGGCTTGTGGAGAAAACTCAAAATGCAATACATCTTATATCTGATTAGTCTGGCTATTCTTCTTTGTAAGGATATCCAGGTGGGGCAACTTTCGAAAATTTGTAACCAACCGCTTTCTGAGACTGTCTGCATAACTTGACGGAATTCCCGTGTCGTAAACTCGTCCGGAAGCTCGCCGAGGCTTGCAGGCACCTGAAGCCACAGTGCCTCTGGGAGCATCAGGAAGGCGGGCCCGTCGGTCCATCGGGGTAGGTCCTTCTCATAATTTATGCACAATCCTCGGGAAGCTAGGTCAGCGGGGTTCTGCTTCGACATCCCATAACGCCACTGATCAGGACGTGAACATTGGTGTATCATGGATACTCGATTGGCTACGTAAGTCGGGGAACGTCGCGTCAAGCACCGTAGAAGTTGCAAAACTATCATGGAGTCGGTCCAAAAGATCACTGGGCATTCCAAATTAATTTCCTTGACTACTTGCGTGGAAAGTCGCGTCGATAAGATAGCGACAGTGAGCTCCAAACGAGGAATAGACACGGTCCGTATAGGAGTGACTCTGGCCTTACCGACAACTATGCGGCATATGACTTTTTCATTCTCACCCACACATCGCAGATAAGCGGCCGCCCCGTATGCTGCTTCTGAGGCCTCTGAGAAGAAGTGCAGTTGGAGAGCAACCATTCGGAATCCCTTAGGTGTTAAACAACGAGGTATAGATACACGGCTTAACTTCTTTAGCTCCTGGAACCATTTGGTCCAGCGATTGTTTTCTTCCTCGGATAGCTGTCCGTCCCATTCCAATTTCTGTCTGACAAGGTCCTGCAGTAGCAGCTTTGGATTAGGTAAAACTGGTGCTAGGATACCCAAAGGGTCGTAGACGGAGGCCGCGAAGGATAATATCCTTCTTCGAGTAGGGCTGACTTTGAATTCCTTCAAGTCGAACTGTATACTGTCTTCGGTGATATTTCACACCACACCAAGTGTTTTTTTCAAGCAACCGTACTGGATTCTATGATGTGATTCTGGAGACCTTAGTTCTTCTGGAGGTAAGGGTATCAGGACACACTCTTCATTCCTGATCCACTTCACCAAACGGAACCCACCTGAACAAGTGATAGCCTTCAAGTTATCAATCAAACCTATGGCTTCTTCCTCAGTATTCACACTAAACAAGCAGTCGTCGACATAAAAGCACCCGTTAGCTAGATTGATCACGTGTTTTGGGAACTTTTCTGCATTATCAGTAATGGCCTGACGAAGCGCGAGATTCACACAACTGGGAGAAGACGTGGCGCCAAAGGGGTGAACGGTCATCCGGTATGAGCTAGGTGAGATAGACATGTCCCCGTCGTCCCACTATAGAAACCTCAAACAATTACGATCCTCAGAAGTAACCTTGACTTGGTGGAACATAGCCTCAATATCGGAAGCGACAGCTATCGGATTTATTCTGAAGCGTAATAGTACTCCAACTAAGCTATTCGTTAGATCCGGTCCTGGTAATAATTGCTTATTGAGTGATGGTCCTTTCTGGGTGGATTGGCAGTCGAACACTACTCGTACCTTGCCAGGCTTCCCGGGGTGATATAATGCATGATGTGGGATGTACCAAACCTCGCACTGACCTTCCACATCGTCCTGGGGAATTATTTCAGCATATCCTTTGGCCAGATACTCCTTCATCACCATACTGTAAGCCGTTCGCAAGTCCGGGTCTCTCATTAATTTTTTCTTCAGTGAGTTTAATCTCATGTGTGCCACCTGCCTGTTGTCTGGGAATCTTGGTCTGTCGGTTATCCATGAAAGTGCTACTTCGTAATGGTATCCTTGCTTTCTCAGGGACCTTTGCATCCTAGTCAGGGCATGCTTATCGCTCAGTGACATAGCCAAACGACAGCTGGGTATTTCATTGAATTCTTGGTTATAAATCTTTTCTAACATCTGGTGTAGGTCTAACGTGTCAGAACAGGTTGAGTAAATGTTCACGGTGGTCGCCGGCGATACTTTCGCGTTTGGGTAGAGGGCTTCCTCCATTGAGGTAGTAGGACCTAGGATAATCCAACCCAGAGGTGTATGGACCGCGTATGGATCATTTGGCCTTCCGCGTCTTTGTTCTAGTGACCAGTGACAGTAGGGATTGTCACTTCCGATTATTAGTCTCACCTTTCCAGTCACTTCTGGGAGCTGTAGATCGGATAAATGCTCCCAGCACCCCATTTGCACCTTCGCTTTGGAGCCGCGAACTAGTTCCGGAAATTTGTGTACAGAACGAACTCCTTGAAGCGGAATAGTTTCTTTAGCACCCATTGCCTGGACGTTCAAGTCTAGCCTTTGGGACTGAAAAACCCCACATCCAGTCACGGTACTGATCTTCAACGACTCAACCTTCCCTTGTGCACCAATTTCCAGTAGTAGTTCGGAATCAACCAAGGATGTATCAGAGTCATTGTCTAGTAAGGCCACCGTCTGTACCTGGCCTGCGGGTCCCGACACTATCACGAGGACGACCCCTAGCGCCACCTGTGACCGGTCTGAGTGTTGTAGGGTGTAGTAAATTGCCTCTGGGTCGTTTGGCTTGGCCCGTTGATTATCGAGACTTGTGTGTAGAAGCGGGTGATGAGCAGCCCTACATTGATTTAACCCGCAACTTTTACGGGAACGGCATGAGTTTCGGTCGTGGTTTGATTTCAGACATAGGATGCACAATCCTTTCTCTCGGCACACCTTCAAGCGTTCGTGGTCGCCATATTGACGCAATCTATCGCACTCTTTCAAATAATGATCTCCACTGCAACACAAGCACGTTAAGTAAGACCTTTTGGAACGAGACGTAGCGAGAATATGAGCTGAGGAACCTCGAGGTCTAGAGTTACCATTTTTGTCCACGATAATTGAAGTCCCGGTAGTTGGTCTCGGTGCGAAGGAGAGAAAGGTGTCCATGGCGTCGGCTGTCTCCTCGACAAATTTGATCAGATCCAAAAATTGTGGCCCTCTGTTAGCCCTCAGGCACCTAGCGGCGTGTTCTGTCCAATCAAACTAAGTATGAGTGAGTGGACGTCTCACAATGGTCCGAGAAGCATTTATGTCTGATTCATACTTTAATTGCTTTAAGGTGGTGTAGCAGGTGCGAAGCTCCCCAGCTAGTCCCGATTGGGTTGCGAAATCGTCTGGTCTGATCGCGGGGCCATCCGTGAGGGCATCGATGTGCGTCTTGGCTATCATGTGTAGCTTTCCGAACCGCTTTCGCAAGATGTTTAGGGCTTCGGATTGTTGGATCAGTTGTAGATTTTAGGACGTTTACCTCGAAACAGCGCATGAATAGCCAGTGGCGGGCAGGATCTCCCTCGAAGGTCACCAGGTCTCGTTTAGGAAGGTTGATAAGCATGTTGCCAAAATTGTCAGTTCCTCGAAATGTGACCGGTGATCGACTGGTGGTGGCTGATCCGTCCAGGGTTTGCAATTCAGGCATCTGGCATGCAGCGCTTCCTTGCCGATACTCCATTTTGGATTGGACAGCCGCTTCACGGAACGGTTTCATTGAGTGCGGTTTCAGTGTGATGTCGGGAGCAAATTTTAATTTCCAAGGCCTTGGCAGCACGTAACATTTATCCGCTTCATGCACAAACCGAACATCGCGTGATGCGACATTTGAAACCTAAGAAATACGCATCGTTGTCAGCTCCAACTCTAGTTGCCTGATTCTCTCTTCTGTCGGTTTCAGCTTGGAAATCGCCATGAACTTCTCATCATCAGAAAGTGACAGTGCATTGCATTCAGGAGTAGACATAATGTCGTCTAGTCAACTTTGTTACGGGGACGATAACAGATATAACGTGCGACGAAATTTGAGTTGCGCTTAAGGACTTTGTGAACAATACACAGCTAAC